TAGGGAAAGGCAGCGCCAGAGTTTAGAGCGGTCGACTGAGTCGAAAGCCACTTTCAGATCTAGGAAGACAGAGATGGTGGGTCTACGAAAAGAATGTCGGTGCTCCAGAGTGTGACGAGGCCTAAGACCGGCCTGGTTCTCACGCGTACTCCACGTGCGGCAGGTCTTTGTGACTATGGGTTTCGCCCCGTCGGCTGTTCACCACACAAATGTGTAATAAAAAAATTTTTATACATCGGCACGATCACCGATTCACATTATTCAGTTGGAACCTGTTTCCTTTCCCACAATGAGCCCAGGAGTTTTTTTAACTCCAAAACCAAGGCTAAACCTCAATCCTAAAAAACCGATGGGGTCAGCCCGTGTTAGCCGAAAGCCTTATACCTTTTGAGATGGCTTATTTCCCATGCGATCTCTATTTCAGATGGAGGACTGATATGAACTGGCAGTATTTGCACCGTTGAACCGGGTATGGGGAGCGGCTGTGTTGACGAGGGCCAGCCGAACTGTGCTTTAAGATTTTCTTTCCATCGATCTAGACGGCGTTGCGGAATATGAATCGGTGCACCGTTCGACTCCTTAATTACCTCATGCCTTCTTTCCTTGGACCTACACTCCTAATTAATCGGAGTAGATTTCAACTGTTACCGATAGCCGCCTCTCTCTATACTTCCCTGTCCACAAATCCTCGCGGTTATTCCTCAGACTCTTGATGAGCTGGCGGGTAAGATATTTGCGCGCTTTGTCGAGCATCCAGCAAGGCAACCGAGGTCGGGGAGATCCATCATTTTTTATTTGTGTGCCAGAATCTGTCGTTGTTTTGATTGACATTTGGATCGCTTCCTCAATTGCCGCCCAGTGTTCACTGAATCCTTCGGCTGATTGTTGAACTGAGAGGCGATCTCATAGTTCCACTTCAAAGGCCGATTGACAACTATTGCTGACACTGTATTGTGGGCATTCGTTTTCGGTGGCTTTTCTGCGGTTGCTTACAAAGCGAAAGGAGAATCTCACTCGTAGCAGTGCATGATCCGTGTCCACAGGTGTTGACTAGTAGGAGCGGCAGTCTTCAATAGATCCTCTCCAGCGGTGGCTGATGGCGATGTGATCGATTTGAGTCCAACGCTGTGAAGAAGTTGGCGGTCCCCATGTAAGGCGGTGCCGTTTCTTGTGCGAGATGTTGGTGCTTGACAAAAACAATCAGTGGGCAGCACAAAGTTGGAGTCGGCGCTCTCCGTTATCAGTCCGGCTAGCTGGGATTGCATGTGAACCACCAAGAAAACTTTCTTATACGTCCAGGGATTTCATCTGAGTACTGAGGGCCCCAGCGACTACCAGTCCGGTGACCGAGCACTTTGGAGAAATTCAAAGGTCCTTGTATAATTCATCTTCATCATCATCATCGTACAGCGAAATACAGTGAAGCGAACTTCACTGACCGCTGCCAAACTCGCAATGCATACAAGGTTAGTGGTACAATTTAAGTTAGACAGGGGTTGGATCTATATAGAGGAAGGGAGAAGATGAGCCACTATGGTCAACACAGAGTACGCAATCGAACTCTGCACACCTACCGTCCCAAGCATTCTGGTCTGATAAGAAATGACAACAAGAACGCCACTGCTGTCGCCTCGTTGCCATATCCTTCAATGTCTCCGACCAACCAGTTGTGGAGTCTTTCGGACCCCAACATGGAAGGCGAGACACCTACTCTACCTAATGGCTGTGCATTTCTTCATGCCTCGTCTTCACATCATCTGTTGACCTCCATGTGG